GCAGCCGATACGGCGACGCGACCGATGCCAGAGTTGAGGAGGGAGGGCGAGGCGACGCGGTGGACGGCGGGGCTCCTGTTTTGGCGGATGCGCTGCGAGTCATGTTCGTGAAACGAGCCGGAGCGGGACGAGGAATGATGGCCAGCGGACGATGGCTGGTTGGAGGAAAAGGGAAGGTGGTGATGGCGTGCGCTTGTGGGAGTGGCCGAGGTGATGTGAGGGCTGGTGGGACGCTTTTCTGCCTCGTCCATGAGGGACTCTCGCCTTGAGAGTGGCCTTGCGCTGGTATCGATGGCGGGCATTGCGCGGCGGAGGTTGTTGGAGCGAGAGTTTGAGTTTGCGCTCTCTGCAGCTATTCTTGGCGGCACGGACTGGGAGCGGTTCTCTGTGAGCCAGTAGGAGTTGGCGGAAGTGGCGGAAGAGGAGGCGGCGGCGGCGGCGGCATCGTCTGCGTGGAAGAGGCCATCGGCAGGAAGCTCGTAGTTGGGAGTCGCACCGAAAGCTTCGGCAAAGTGAGCGTTGACGGAGAAGTTGGGCGTGTCAACGTGCGGGTGCTGGTGGGATCTCTGTGCGAGCGTGGAGCGGCTGCTGAGGTGGTTGGCGGCCGAGGAAGGTGGGTGCGGCTTCTTGGTGGGGGAAGGGGTGCGTGTGATGGGGGTGCGCGGAGGCAAGTTGGCGAGGTTGCCCGGATGGCTGCGACGTTCTGTGCCCGTCATGACGATGGCTGTGTGGGGCACGACGCTGAGCTAGGGTCCAGTGACAAGCGGGTCGAGTGCTGGCGATCCGAGCTTTGCTTGCGAGAGCTGCCTTGGCTGCGTGGAGCGGAGAGAGTGTCGATGGCTTCAGCAAGCAGCGCACATGGGATGCGTCGGAATCGAGCTAGATGCAAGCTTTGTAGCAGTGGACCTGGGAGCGCGTGCAAGCGGGGACGCGGCAAGCAGATGAAATCGAGCGTTTCCCAGCTTGATGCAGGAGCGGTGATGCAGAGAAGGATGCGGATTTCGGAACAGGACGGAGCGAGAGGTGTACTTGCTGCGGCGGCGGCCAACGGGACGAAGTGATCTGGGACGGAAGGGTCGCAATGATGGGGACGGGTGGACGCTGTTATGATTCTATGTGGCGAAGGTCGTCGTTGCTGGACGCTTCGGAAGACGGCTCGGCAGCAAGGCGAGAGGAGACGAGAGGAGACGAGACGAGGCGAGGCGAAAGCGGTGCTGAAGAGCAGGCCGAGTGATTCTAAGGTGGGAGTGGGAGTGAGCCAGGCGTAGAGATGAAGTCGCGGATGACGAGGAGGATGACGGCCAAGCCGATAGCTTAGTGGCGAGAGCGAGAGGTTCGTGCGTTGAAAATGTGACGAGGCCGACAGAAGCACCGACGGCGGGTGTTGGTCCAAGCTGAGCTGCACGTTGAGCTGCTGCGTCGAGCTGCTGCGTCGAGCTGCTGCACTGCGATGCACTGCGCTGCGCTGCCGACCTAACCTGGCTTGGGCGCAATCTAAATCCATCTTCAAATTCACACCCGCTTCCTCTCTCTGCGCTTGGCTTTACGCTCACAGACCGAGGTGGCGCACCTTCTGCCGGCAACTCCTAAATTTGGCCAAAGAAAAGGAGACAAAAAAAAAAGAGGGGCGCTCCAATCACACTCTTTTTACGTTCCGCCCCCACGGCCCCCACGCCAACGAATCTCTGGCCACTGGCACTCTCGCACTTTTTTTTTCTTTTCGTGAGACACGGCATCGGGACGTCCGGCGCTCGACTTTTGATGCATGCATGCACACTTCGGAGGTGTGGCCTCGACGGTTGGCCCGGCAGGCGACCTTTTCGTGCATCTCATCCCGTCGGCTGTTCCACGCCCGACGGCCATTGTCACTGCCGTCTGCTTCGGAGCGATGCCGCATTGCTCGGCTCTCTTGAAATCACCGTGAGCTGCTTGGGCTGCTTGGGCTGCTCGAGCTGCTCGAATGGAATGGGGTGCAGCAGGTTGACCGGCGCACGAGGCCTCGCTCGCTTTCCTGTACAATGCAGAGGCCTAGCCTTGATGCAAGCTGCCATCCACCAATCATGTCCGCGCTCGAGCAATCTGCTGCTGCTGCTGGCTCTGCAGCGTAGCGTGGCGTGGCTGTGCCTCGCTGTCTCACTCTCCAGATGCAGCTCGGGATGCAGCTCCAGATGCACACCTCGCCACGCGTCAAATTCCCCCGACTGTCGAGCTTCGAATTTCTTCGACTGTAGGCTGACTCTGCGCTAGCCTGCCCGCCCGCACGCCACGTGGGCCACACCTTGCGCCTCTCACCTCGACTTGCGCCTCCCTTGCCCGCGCTGGACCCTGGTGGAAGCATCTTTCCACACATGCTGCTGCTCTCACAGCTCGTTCATCGCCAAGTCAAATACACCGTCGTTCCTGGATCTTGACGATGCACGCCGCCTGTTGGCATCCTCCTTCAGTCCAGAGTCACAAGTGCGCTGCGTATGGCTGCCGCAACCACGCTCACCTCCGAGGTTCGCCGCGGTGGGCAGTGTCCAATGTCGAGTTCGATCACCTGCTTGTCCCGGTCGTCGTAGAGCGATGCCAGCTGTCGCGATTCCGCTAGATTCGTATCGTGTCGGCCATGCACATGCACGCTCTTGATCTCGAGCGGCGCAACACCCCTCGTGTCCACGCGCTGCAGCCCTCCTCCGCTCTCAAACGGTCGTCCACCACAGATGAGAATCATCAGTCGCACCGGAAGCTCGTCCAGTCCAGCTCCCACATGCGCCCTCAGTTCCAGTAGCATGCCTGTCGACACCGCACATCCCTGCGAGAAGCAGATCAGCCCGTCAAATGCGCATCGACGCTCTTCCAGAGGTGTCGTCGGCCCCGCCGTGCTCGCATCCGAATCCGTGCCCCCATAGCTGGGAGTGAGGGCAGGCGATGCGCCAGTGCTTGCCGTGTCTGTCAACGCTGGATGCATCGCTAAAGAATCGATGCCTACCTCCTTTCCCAACGCTATGGCTGCACTGAGCTGCTGCGAGTCATCACCCTGCTTCCCGTAGCAGCCCCTCGAAGCGTCCAATTTGGCTGCCACTCTGCTGTGCGCCGCCTGCAATGCGGCGCGCGTCGGCTGCTCGTACCACGAAAAGTACGCTTGGCCCGGAAAGATGCTTTCGATGCCTGGTGAGAGCAGCCAAATCATCATCAGTAGACAGCTTGAGCGACGAGGTTGAATGCCGCAGACTCACCTTGGTATGGAGCACATCGCTCGCCGCCCTCCAAATACTCGACCTCGACCAGCTCGCCAAGTGCGTCGACGATCGGCTTGATCTGCGTCTTCATGATTCGTGCCGAAGTTCCTTTGCCGTGCAAGGCCAACAGTCGGAACCTGCGCAGCGGCATGCTTCCGCTCGCTACGATCATGGCCAGGCCCTCGGCGGATGAACTTATCCTTGGACGTGCGGTGCTGGACACCGTGTCGCTTAAGTAGCTTCAAGGCTTCGAAACATGGCTACCTGCGTATCCTATGGTCTCGAGAATCCTCAGCCTATACACAGGCCCGGAAGTTTTCATATTCCACAGTGACACACAGTGACACAGGGCTGCACGCAGCAAGAGGTGACGGCCTCAGTCCTTGCTTCAGCCAGGCTCAGCAACAAGCACCTCAAGGGCCTTCTCCGGAGCTCGAACAGATCAAGCTCGCACAGCATTCAGGAGGCCGGAAGCTTGGCTAGAACCGTGAGCCGGAAAGAGTGCAACGCAAAAGCGAATCGACCCAAGGTGGGTTGATCTCTAGGCTCTTGGTGTGACATCAAGCTCTAGGTTGCGGCGTAACGCGCTTTTACGGAGGCCAGGGCGCAACCCTCTTTCACTCTGCGTCACAACCACGAGCGCCCTTCACCGGTTGCAACCACGGACGTCACGAAAGCATCACTGCCGCCCTTGCAGATACCGCTTATCCTTATCGCCACATGCGCACTATGAGCTTGCGCACTTTGAGCTAGCTTCGGCATCCCTTCGATTAGCATCATGTAACTCGCTCGGAAGCACTTGGCAACACCGACACGCCATCGACTAGCCACTTGTCACATCAAAGGCGTCCCGCTTCGTCGCAGTCACGAGACCGTGTGGACAGCAGGCTTCGCCGCGGAGAAGGCGGAATCATGCTCTGAATCAACCTCAACGTTCAGGGGCCAAGAAACTCTACACCACGTCGACACGCGTGTGAACCTTTGGGCGTAGCTACCCCCTTCCTCCGGTCACACGACTCTCTCTACCTGTCACTTCGTCTCGACAGATGCAGCTGCGATCACAGGCATCAGATTGACGCAGATTCAGTGCTCCCCAGGGCTGCCGCGGAAAAGCGCCGACGCCATCGGATCATCCGCTCCATCTTTCCGTCGGATCCGCACACGGGCGCAACATCTGTCAACCTCCGCAACATCACGCACGAATTCTTAGTCAGGGCGTGATCATAGCACTCGTGGAAGGTCCGGCGGATGACATGGCTCACAGCGGCTCTTCCGACACTTCACACCGAGGTTCCCAGAGCCAAGCAACACAGCAGGCAAACCACCTCAACGTCAAGCGCCTCCGCCTCTTTCGGAGCAATCGCTGCGAACCGCCACTCGAGCACTCTCAGCCCACATAGGTCGACGGATAGAGCACTGCGAAGATGGCAGCCGCCTCTCCAACAGAGGAAAGCAGCAAGGCAGCTCCGCACAGCACTCGAAAGCCTGGAAGGCTCTCTGCACGGTCGCCTGTATTTGCGCCCAAGCGCAGGCCATGCAACATATAAAGGACTCGTAGAGACGACACGAAGCCCAGATTCCCTCCAGCATTCCTTCTCTTCCACCATCCCAATCTTCAAGAAAACCGCAAGATGACGCTCAACAAAGCACAGAAGAACAGCCTCGAACACAATCACAAGGTGGTCTTCGTCTATGCATCCCACCGGCACATCTTGCGTCCATTCACATTCCACCTCTTGTACCACAGAGCTCTCCACGATGCCATCCTACGCTCCTTCCTCGAGACAGCATACGAGTCCATCCGATGCGAAGTCAATGCCGCAGCCGCCTCGCCCGAACTCCAGCCCTCCGGCGCACCGGTTCTGCCGGCTTCCTTTGAAGGGCTCACCGAGACAACCGCTGCCCCTCTCTTCAGATTCTTCGTCCTGTCTCTCACGACTCTGGCTCAAATCGGCATGGTCCTCGCCGCCAGGCAAGACTTCAAGGATGCCATGACGGGCGGCTTCCCCGCCGTGTGGGATGCCGAATCCTTTCTGACGATGCGCATCCTCCAGACGACCGACGCCTCCTCCACTCTCGAGGTCATCGCTCGTGCCGTGGAGACGATCCGACTCGCAACCTGGCTCGACATTTTTCTGTCTCCTGGCAGCTTTGAGCAGGCGCATGGTAGACTCGAAAGGCTCACGGTTCGAGGAGGCGATGGGCTGCATGCAGTCCTGGACAAATGTCGTCAAGGTAACAACCTCATTCAACAGACCCTGTACGGCTTTACCCTCGGCGTCTCCCCGCACGGTCCAGAAGCGGACGTCATGCACGAGTCGCAAGGTGTTCTCGTCACCGAAAAATCCAAGGTCCCGCTCTTGGACGAGGCTCAGTGGACTCGGATTCACGATGGTCTCCAGGCTTGCATCGAGAAACGCCGTATCGGGGTCGCTCTCAGCCCTGGCATAGCTCGCTGTGGCGACCCGTCGAGCATCATCGAGGTCGATCTGGCCGATCTTTTTCGGATGCCTGACATTGGACGCTCTCAAGCGCATTCCGACGGTGCCTTTGTGCAACTTGCACACGACACCAATCTTTCGCGCGTCTACATTCCAAACGTCAGTGTTCTGCTCATTGGTGGCAACACCAACGATGCTTGCATCTCGGCAGTGACACGGCACCTCACGTCACAAGCAATGCCGCACGAGCACGTCAAGCTCCTCAATCTCCTATCGCCCAAAGACTCTCAGCGATTCGGTAACGAGCCCGTCAATCTATCCAAAGTCCAGGGAAATCCTTGCGAGCAGATCGCCATTGTTGGCATGTCCTGCCGCGTGCCTGGTGCCTCTGATGCGGATGACCTCTGGAAGCTCCTCAAAGAGGGCAAAGACACTCTTCAAGAGGTATGTTCACATGCTCAGAACATTTTTCGTGGCATTCGAAGCTTGACTGACACCATGCCGCCATTTCTCTCTTTCGCCGCCTTCTCAGATCCCCGAGAGGCTCTACCGCTATCAAGACTACCATTCCGCCTCGTATCGCGACCGGAACGTCATGCGTGTTCGAACTGCCAACTGTCTCTCCAATCCGAGCCTCTTCGACAAGAGCCTGCTCGAGGGCGTCGGCTCGGTCGATGACTGCGCAAAGCTTGACCCTCAGCAGCGAGTGGCCATCTTGACGACCCACGAGGCGCTTCAACGGGCAGGCTACGGCTTCTCTCCTCGTCATCCACCAAAGCACCCGCAGCAGTGGAGTTCTCACCTTGCCTATTGCAGCGATGACTATCGCGAGCATCTCAGTCGCGACATCGATGGCAGTCTTGTCTCCGCCACGCACCGCGCACATCTCGTGGCCAGAATCAACGAAGCATATGGCTTCCGGGGCGAGGCTTGCTCCTACGACACTGCTTGCAGCTCTGCCTTGGTTGCAGTTGAGGCGGCATGTAGTAGCTTGCTGGCCGTTGAGACATCGGTGGCAGTCACGGGGGGCGTCAATATCATCACACAGCCGCAGATCACTATCGGACTCGACCGCGGCTTCTTCCTCTCGCCTTCGTCTCAATGCATGACGCTGGACGATGCCGGTTCAGGCTATTCCAGAGCCGACGCCGTGTCCATCATGCTGCTCAAGCGACTCACCGATGCGGTGCGCGACAACGATCCTATCCTAGCCGTCATCTCCTCTGCTGCGACCAACCACTCGGGCGAGTCTTTCTCCATCACTCATCCTCACAGAGAGACGCAGTGCAGGCTGTACCGGTCCGGCATGCTCGCCAGCGGAACCCTGCCACGCGACTATTCCTACATCGAGATGCACGGCACGGGGACGCAGAGTGGCGACTTAGAAGAGGTGACCGGCATCGTCGAGACGTTCGGGGCGAAGAAGAGGCCCGGCGAGTCTCCACTAGTGCTTGGCTCAGTGAAAGCCAATGTTGGGCATTCGGAAGCGGCTTCGGGGGCCACCAGCATGATCAAGACGATCCAGATCTACAATCATGACTTGGTGCCACGCCACATCGGCATCCGCACAAAGCTCAACACCAAGCTTCCGCCCCTCGACGGGTTGCTCATTCCTCTCGAAGAGACCAAGCTCGACCGCCTCAGTTCAACGTTCACGCTCGTCGACAACTTTTCGGCAGCGGGCGGCAATTCTTCCGTCATCATGGATCGTGGCAGTCGGTACCGCGAGCGCCTCTTGAGCCTGTCCAAGGAGGCCGAAGCGACGTCGGACGACTTTGTCTCGAGTGTCAAGCAGCATCTGCTCTTCGTCACGGCTGCTACGCCGTTCTCACTGGACGCACATAGGAGGCAGCTGATCGCGTTCTTGGACCAGAATCGCGACGTCAGCCTGCGCGAATTCTGCAGCAATGTTTCGCTCAGCGATCCCATGTATCGCTACCGCCTGATCGGCACCCCCGCCACGCTTGCCGAAGCAAAGGCTTGCCTCAGCAGCCAGGAATCCATCTGCGTCAGCGACCGATCTACGAAGGACATGGCCATCGGAATCGCTTTCAGCGGTCAAGGCGCCCAGTATCTCGACATGGGCCGGGAGCTCTACGAGTACAGCTTTGCTTTCCGTCGACACGTTGACGCTTGTAACACCATCGCGCTGAGCCTAGGAATGCCATCCTTGGTCGCGGTCATCCATCCGGGACGCAACGAGGAGACTGCTCGGCGTGACTCCACAGTGGGGACGCGTGCAGCCGATGCCTTCAGCCCGGCGCAGTACCAGCTGGCCTTGACTGCGGTCGAAGTGGGTCTCACATCCCTGCTCCTCGACTGGGGCCTCAAACCAGCTTGCTTGGTGGGACACTCGCTCGGAGAGTATACAGCCATGTGGTTGTCGGGCATTCTCTCTCTTCACAGCTTGATCGATCTCGTCGGTCAACGCGCTCTGCTCATGATGGAACGCTGCCAGCCCAACGCCACGTCGATGCTGGCCATTCGAGTGCATCACGCACAGGCCGCACAGCTGCTCAAGGAGGCTGGATCCGAAAGCCTCGAGATTGCCTGCATGAACAGTCCCAACGACACCGTCGTCGCGGGCAGCACGGTCGAGATCGAAAAGCTTATGCGACTATGCGAGCACAAGCAGCCCAAGATCAAAGCCATGGCGATTCCGGTGCCATACGCTTTCCATTCGAAAGCGGTCGAGCCGCTGATGGAGGACTATGCAGCAGTGGCTGCTCGTCATCGTTTCTCGCAGCCAAAGATCAGCATCGCATCCAACGTCCTCGGCCAGGTCATCGACGGCCGCAACGCAGGCATCACTGCCGACTATCTGGTCCGCCATCTGCGTCAACCCGTACGCTTTTCCGAAGCAATCCTGGACCTTCAGAGCAAGCTTCAGATCGACACGTGGATCGAGTTGGGCCCTCATCCGACCTGCATTCCCATGCTCAAGGGCTGCTATGCCGAGGCCGAGCATGCACCAGCCTTCTTGGCGTCTTTCCGCCGGGGAAGCTCGTCGTGGTCATCTGTCCTCGGCTTGGTCAAGGAACTCGCATCTCGCGGCATCGACCTAGACTGGGACAAAGCTTTTGCAGACCTCGGACTGCGTTTCTGTCACAAGGGCCTGAGCGCAAGTCTTCCGCTATACCCGTTCGACTACGAAGAACACTGGATCCCGTTCAAGGATCGTGGACTACGCGATGGCCTCACACCTGCGAGCATCAAGCAGTCTGGCACCGCGGAGACTGGCACCATCAGACACGAGGCTCCACCGAAGCCGAGACTGCCACGGCCGTCGTACGCCCTTCTGTCTCAGTGTATCAGGCTGGAGGCCAATCCACCCTCGGCACTGTTCTTGGCGCGCACAAATCAACGCCCCTTCAGCGACATGGTCAAAGGCCACATCATTCTTGGCACGGAGCTTGCTCCAGCGACCGTCTTTGTCGAGCTTGCGCAGGAAGCCGGCATGTACTGGTGGGACTTGGACGCGAGGGCGGCTCGACCGGCCGGCCAGAAGGAGGAAGACGTGGTGGTCGAGGTGTTGGAGCTCTCTATGGTCGCGTCACTGTACCTCAACGAGCGTGACCCGAAGCAGAGCATCGAGGTGAGCTTGCAAGGCGATCCCTGGTCCCACGACGGCTCGATCGTGCAGTTCTTCTCTCACAGCGAGCACCGCCACCAGAAGCATCAGTATGGCGCTTGCAGGATCCGCGTCGTCAGCGTCGACGCTGCCCAGCACGACTGGACGAAGCTCGCGCACCTCATCCAGACAGCTGCCGCCAAGGTTCAAGCCGACTCGTCATCCGTCATCAAGACCAAGACCATCTACCGAAACTTTGAGTCCATCGTCAAGTACCTCGGTGGATTCAGAGGCATGGAGACCGTCTGGCTGAGCGAAGGCGGTGAAGAAGCCACCTCCGAGGTCCGACACCACGACGAGGCCGCGTACGGCCGATTCGTGTGCAGCCCAATGCTGTTGGACAGCCTCGGAGGGCTGACTGGCTTTATCAGCAACGTCCGCTTTGCTGAAGGCCCGTACGTCTACATGGCAGACGGCATTGGCCGCATTGTGACGCTGCCGGGCTTGCGAAAGATGCAGCCCGGCGGTCCCACCAAAGTGCGGGTCTATGCCAGAATGCAGAAGGACAAGGACCTGTCGAGAGGCGATGCCTACTTCTTCCTGCCCGACGGTCGATTCATGGGCTCGATGGAAGGGATCGTCTTCAAGCGCATCCGACGCGACATGCTGCTCAGGCTCGTGCAGCTCTCGAGCAAGGCTTTCTTCAACGAGGCGGATCGAGCAGCCAAAGCCCAGCAGGGCGCCAACGTCCACGAGAGCGACAACCCTTCGCAGAATTCCGCCAACAAATCTTCTACCAACCAGCCAAAGGCGATTCCGGGACTGGAGGGCAAGGCAAACGGCAGCGCGGCTCACAGTGCTCGCCTCCAGGGCGAGACAAGTAGTGACTCGCCGATGAACGAGCTGACCGACCCAGGCAAGCGCTCCATCGCCTCGAAGCCGCGTCACATCGCAGGTCCACAGCTCAAGCGCTTTGACGGGCGCGACGTCCTCTTCCTCTTTCCCGACGGGAGCGGGACAGCACAGATGTACCCAAACATCAACACTGGCGGCCGACTGTCCATTTATGGCTTCGACTCGCCTTATCTGGGCCACATCGGGGCATGGAGTCGAGGTGTGGGCGAGCTGGTGGATCAGTATGTCGAGATGCTCTGCCGCGCGCAACCGCAGGGCCCGTACCGACTCGGCGGCTGGAGTATCGGCGGTGTCGTCGTGCTCGAGGTGTGTCGGCGCCTCCTCTCGCTCGGCCACGAGGTGGCCTTTGTCGGCCTCATCGACACGCCGAGCCCGCTGCAGATCAAGCCGATTCCGACGGGCACGCTCGACGAGATGCTGGGGCGCATCACCTCGGCCACGGTGCGCGAGCACTTCCGCTCATGCGCACTCAGTCTGCCGGGCTACCGCTGCCTCGCATTTGCCGAGAACGACGCAAAGCCAGCAAAGATCACCGTGGTCAATGCGGCTCACGACTCGGGGCTGAAGCCTGTGATGGCGAGCGAGCCCGAGTGGCGCTCGTTTTGGTCGGACACGGCCCACCTCGCTTGGCACCAAGTGGCGGGCGACCACTGGACGTGTTTGGAGCCGGCGCTGCGGCTCATTGTCGAGAGCGCCCTGTAACGTCGCTACGCTCGTGCGCGCTGCGTGCAATGTATGTACCGTGTCAGTGCCAGTTTGTGTTGTGCTATCTTGTTATTGCGGGTGGTGGTAGTGTACAGTGAAAAGGCGGGCTGTGCGCGGTTCTAGAGGTAGCGCGAGCTCTGGGGGCAGTAAGACTCGAACCTCTCCTCGACTTTATCCCAGTTGACGCAGTTCCAGAAGCGGGTGAGGTACTCCTCCTTGCCCATGATGCCGTAGTCTGCGAGCCAGGCATGCTCGTGCACGCTGATGTTGAGGAGCGGGTAGAGCTCCTTTCCGACCTTGTCGGCGATGCCGAGGGCGCCGAAGAGGCTTTCTGCGGGGCGGGCGGGTCTGTCTGTGGAGTTGGGCCTGTCTGCGTCGTTGGTGGGTTGGTCGTTGATGCTTGGGATGGCAAAGTGCTTTCCCTGCTGGATCCTGTTCTGGACGATGACGGTTCCTGCGCCGAAAGTTGGGACGATTCCGAGGTTTCTGTGTTGATCGGTGACGAGCCATACCCAACCGGAGCTGCTCATGCCGTAGGCGGCGGCGGAGAAGGCGAGGCACATTTCGGGGAAGCTTCCGAAGCTCTTTGACACTGCCGTAGCCAATTTTGGCAGAGGGGTGGGGTTGCGCAGTTTGTCTTGGGGAGCGATAGAGGAGAGGAAGAAGGCGTTGTTGAGGGCCTGGGAAGCGTAGTTGAAAGCCAGTAGCTTCTCGCGGTTCTGAGCGAGGCCGATGACGGTTTCCACAATGGAAGAAGAGGCGAATTGGGTGTCACGAACTTCCTGATTGAGAAGGTCGAGGAGGCCAGCCTGCCATGTTTGCGAGATCTGCTTGACGGTCGATGCGGAGAGGAAGGGTGCACAGCCGTCGACGAGCGATTCGGGTGTGGGTGGACACGTGTGCAGACTCCTCGAGGATGTGGACGGTGTCGAGACGGTAGAGAGGGTGGGCAGAGAGCGGATAGCGCGGGTCGCAATACGGCCCGAACGGGCCAAAGGTGCAGCCACCATTGCGCAAATACGAAGGGATGGTGTGAAAGATGTGCTGTGAGAGAGAAATCCCAGGATAGAGCGATGTGCAAGAGTGGCATTTTTTCTTCCTGCCCGCTTTCTCGGAAGATGGGCAAGGCCAGGGCGCTCTCGTGATCACGCCCCCGTGTGCCCAATTTTGGGCACCCACTCGTGCGAGTCAAACCCCCATTATTGCCCCCGATGCCGCATCTCTCTCCACACAACACCTCAGCCCGCGGGCGATTTCGAAGAAGAAAAAAAAGAGGCTAGGCCCAACCGCGCATTGCTGCTGCTGCGTGAGATCAACATCAAACATCAACACTTTCACCCTGACCGCTGTCATCTCGACTTCTCAGCCGCCCCTCGCACATCTTTGGGGGTATAGGGCTTCAAGAGATGCCCTCTTCGCTCGCATCGATACCGCAGGCGCAGCTGCCATCCAAGTACCGCGATGTCGTCAAACTCGCTCTGCAGCCGCGTCAGACGCGTGCCTTTGTGCTAGCCGCCATCACCTGGCACCTCTGCCTCTGCGCCGCCCTGTTCGGTACGGTGCGGATGGTGGTTTCGCCATCGACGCTGGTGGTCAGCGCTGCATCGTTCGGCACCGCCATCTTGCCGTTGTTGGCTCGACGCAAGCGCGGGTGTGCGCGCATCACGTCGGCGCCACCAAAGACGCCATCTTCGAGGACAGCACAACTCACAGCTGCTTTGGCGCACGCTGACTCGGGAAGGGCGGTTACACAGCATACGGCGGCATTTGTTGTGCTGGCACTTGGGTATACGGCATTGTTGACGGCAAGGACCGAGGGATGGGCGCCCCAGATCTGGGTCGAGTCGCACGCGGCGTTCTACCTCAACGAACGCTTTCTCTATCTGCTCGGCCACTCGGCACTGCTCGGTGCAGTCTATACGGTGGTATTCCGATGTCTCCCTTCGCCTGATACCACGGCGCTGCCGGCATTCGACGCCAAGATGCTCACGACAGACGCACGCGTGACGATCAAAGACCGCGTGGTCGCCCTGGCCTCGTCGCGCCTACCGCTCGCACTGGTTGCCGCAACACTCGCATCGATAACGAGCGTGGTGGTGTATGCGGCGGTGCGCGTGCGCGTGTGGAGCAGCGTGCTGCTGGTCGTTGGCAGCCGCGGCCTGCTGCGCCGTTTGCTCGTCCCGTCGTTCCGCCTGGAGTTTGGTACGCTCGAGGTGGGGGTGCGCACGACGCTGTTCAGTGTAGCCGCGGTGTGTGCGGTCGAAACAGCGTACGTGCTGCTGGATGTGTACCTCACGCATCCGCTCGTGGCGCTCAGCAAGTACGCGCGGAACCCGACGCGGATGTTGGTCGACGGGATCGAAGAGCCGCTCGTGTTTTTCGCCAGCCACGCGTTTGCAGAGCTGGCACGGCTCAGTGCCCAGGATGGCGAGGTGCGCGCAGCGGTGTACAGGGACGTCAACTCGGACGCCACGGCGTGGATCCAGATCAGGGACAGGTGTCTGAAGCTGCTCGAGGAGCAGAGGCAGTTTATCGCGCGCAGAGGCGTAGTGGAGGCAGCCAAGCCAGCAGCGCCAGCAGCGGCACAGCAAGCACCGCAACAGCAAAGCGCAGCGCAGCCAACACGAACCATCTGGGACCAGCTCGCGTCGGGACAATCGACGCCCAGCAGCAGTGCGTCACCCGCGCAGACGAGCAGGACTGCCCCGACGACTGCTGCCGCTGCCGCTGGTGCTGGCAAGGCCCCGAGCCCAGCGCCTGTCGTGAGCATCGCCAACGCAAGCCGGCTGGCGCATGCGCTAGTCTCGACTGCATGGCGACTGGTACCTTCGGATGCCAAGCACGTTCTCTTTGGTCCTCGTCGACGCCAACTACTGCTGGGCGACTCACCGGCCTCTGACGCGGCGTCGATAGTGGGCCGCGATGCTCAGCGCACCGTCGGAGCCGTGGTGGCACTCAAGTCTCTCCTCTGCCACAGCCTTGCCGAAGACGCGTACGGTGTAGTGCAGAAGGACATCCGACGCGTGCTCGTGGCGCTCGTGGAGCTCGACTGCGAGATCCGACGCTTGGGACTCGAGCTCGAACAGCGCGCTCGCGACATCGACGAGCAGCTCGCCAAGCAGCAAGCCGCCGAGCCCAACACGCAGGCAGCAGCGAGGAGCGAGTACCAGCAACAGCTCAGTACGGCCTGGAGCAGCAGCGGCGCCGAGAGCGTCGATACCGCCCTCACTGCCGCCATGCGCGAGATCCTGGATACGTTCGCCCAGTTTGATCTGCAGCTCGGCACGCCGCTCGAGGTGCAGCTCGCAGAGTGTCTGGGTTGAGAGCGCGTTTGCAATCCATTACTCTCAGCAACAACGATCGATACCAGCGTGGGAGAGCTTTGCTATGGATTCCGTCGGCAGTGGACCGATCGATTGTGATTGTGACGAGGAAAGTTGGGAGGTGCAAGCCGAAGCTGCATGTCCTTTCGGATGGCTGCATCCGCTCCACGACTGAGAGTGATTTTTCCGGAAATCGATGATTCGCACCCATGGGCAGCAGCAGCGGCCGCGCTTCGATTTGCAATCAAGCCCAGGCAAGGCAGACAGACGGTCGGGAACGCCGACTGGGCTCGGCTCGAGAGGCTCAGCTGCTGGTGGTCGTCTCCGCATTTCCAGACCGATTCCGCCGCCGCGTTTCCGGTATTTTTTTCACGCTGCTTAAAATGAGGCGGCAGCAGATGGGCAGTCTAAAAAGCGCGCACTAAATTTCGCAACCAGCTGCAGCCACACACTGCGCTCATGCCTGCCCTCAATTCGCCCGGGCTAAGGCTGAGGCGCCTTGGCCAACGACGGCTCGCTCTGCCCGGCCCTGCCTTCCCCCGCATCGATGGGGAATGGGCGGGCGGATGCTCAGCTCGGCTGGCCCGCACCGCTGCTGCTGCTGCTGCTCTCTCTCTCTATCACCATCCACCCCGTCGGCACTCCCATCCGCTTCATCTCGCCTCGTCACCATCCTCCGCACGTCGAGATCTTCGGAATCGACCGAGATCGCACGTCTACTGTACCTCGCTGCTACTGCACCGTGGGGATCTCACGCCACCACACTCAAGCTCGCATATCCACTCTCTGCACGCGCAACATCCGCCCGCGCCTTCATCTCGGCGCGTATCGCATCCGCTGCCCGTTCATCAATCGTCATCGGCACCGCGACGCTCGATACTGTACCGTTGCAGTCGTTGCGCTCAACAATGCTGTCTTGCCCGCCAGCGGCATCCCATTAATACCGGATCCCCACCTTTCGAAGCTAGCCGCTGGCAACCTCCCTCGCAGATATAGTCAGTCCGTTTCTCAAAGCGCATCGCCTCTTCTAAAATCCTCCGCAGCGCGAGCCACGCACAATCTGCTCCAAAAATGCAGGGCTCTTCGCACGACACCATGTTCCGACAGCACTTCCAATACAACGGACGCGACGATCCCTCCCAACAGCTGCATCCGCCACACCAGCAAAAGTCGCAGCCCAACCATCAGCGAGAGCCATTGCAACAGCAGCAGCAGCAGCCGTTTCAACCGCACGCACAAATGTCGAACCAGGCTCCCTCGGGTCATCACAACCTTTTCGCGTTCCAACCCTCTTCTTTCGATCCAGCCGCCTCCACCATGCAGCCCGCGCAGTCCGCCTTTGCTTCCTCATCCACCTCTGCCCACTCGGCTCCGATGGCGCCGCCCACCATGCCTTTTCCCTCCAGTCAGCCGTTCGCAATGGACCACGCGATGTTCGGCGACGTCTTCATGCCGCCAAGACCAAAGCAGCTACGGCCTTCCGAAGCAACGCGCACCTACCTCAACACCTTTGAGGACCCCATCGCAGAGGCCTACATCGCTGGCCAAAACCTCGATGAGCCTTTCTACTCGATCGCTCCGTCGGGAATAGAGTTGCCCACAGACGCCTCCACGTCTCTCGACCTCAACACCATCCCTGCTCATGCATCAGAACCCACCAACGCTCCGCCGCAACCAGCTGCCGACACTCGGCCAGACTCCATCGACTCCTTTGCCTTCATCGGCAAGCAATCCAGTGCAGATTCCGACACTTTCGACTCGGCCGCTGCCATCCTCGACGACGCAGGCTTCACCCGCTTCTCCCAACTCAACGACGACAACACCAACAACGCCGCAGATCCGCTCTCCGACAACGCAGATGCGCAGCACGGCATCGCTTCCGCTTCGGGCTCAGATGGCACCAGCCAAGGCACATCAGCCTCAGCCGCAGCCAACAAGGACGGCATCCCTCCACGCCGCCGTACCCGCCGTCGCCAAAACATCAGTTGCGACCAGTGTCGCGCCTCCAAGCGTGGCTGCGACTTTCAGCTGCGTCTTGATGCAGACGGCAACGATCTCGCCTCGGACCAGCCCGCCGCTGGCAATGCTGGCGACAAGCGCAAGCTCTCCGACGCGGGCCAGGAAGGCGGCCCGGGCGGCTCCAAACTCGTCTGCTCCAACTGCCAGCGACGCGGCATCGAATGCACCACCAACTTTGCCGACTCGGTTCGCGAGAGCAAGCAGGCCGCCAACGTCACTCCGGACATCCCCGTCCAAGGCTCCAAGAAGCGCGCCATCTCCGACGACGCCTCCGAGAACGGCATGCGTTCCAAGTCGGTCTCCTCCGACGGCAGCTCGCCCTCGGCACACAGCCACGAAAGTCGCGACCAGCTCATCCGGGCCTTGCAGAATCGCAACGAGTCCCAGATGCTCTCCACCAGCGGCCAGAACTTCCGATTCGCCATGCGTGCAGACTCGCTCCTCCTCACCACAAACCGCATGCGCCTCTACGTACACACCGTCGAACCCGGCGCCAACCTCTGGCTCTCCAGGGCTTGCTCGCCGCTTCGCACCGACGGCGACCTCGGCGCCTACATTCGCAGCGCCATTGGCCTTGATGCGCTCAACCTCTCGCAACGCCTCTGGGCCTCGTGGCACGTCGACGTTCCATCCACAAGGAAGGAGCACCAGCCCAATCTCTTTTACCTCGTCTACGGCCTCGACCACCTCGGTGGAGAGATGGGCGTCTGGGGCGAAAAGCCGCAGCAGTTGCCCATCCCGGACGCCTCCGAGATGCGCGGTCCAGGCCCAGCGCACGAAGCTTCCGCACAGATCCAAGACATCTTTATCGACATGCTCGGCATGGGCCCCGGCGGCTGGCGCAGGTCCAAGAGGGACCTCATGATCGACGAGGCCGTCAAGGCGTGCATGCTCGCCTACGCGTGCCAGTTCCGTCTCGACGACGAGATGACCTCCAGCTCTGCCGATGCCGCATCCCAGAAGGCTGTGGACGGCAAGCACTACCGCGACGCCCACGACCGCATCGCCACCGCAGCATGGAAGCGCGCACGCTCCTTGATTTTGCAGCTCGCTCCGCGCCGCTCGTGCCGCATCGCGTACGGCCTTTTCCTGTTTGGTGTTACGGCGCCACCGCCCGGTGCGCTGGCAGAGGGTGGTGCCCGATCGGGCGCGGATGCTGCCGAGGATGCGGCGTTTGCGCTCGAGACTGCCTCCCGACATCTCGAGTGGTTCGTGATGAGGTGTCGCGACCTCGTCCGTACCGTCGATAAGGCGGTCAAGAATCCGCTGCTCAACGGCAACGCCGAGGTGATCAAGCACCAGCGCATCGCATCCGACCTCATGGGCCTCGCAGAGTCGCTCGGCTGGTTCGGGCTGCTCATCGACACCGTCACGCACGTGTCGCAGGGCCGCCGCTCGAGCATGCGCGAGGACAATCTGGTCTACCAGTCCACCGGCATAGGTTCGGGCACGGATCCAGGCGTGCCCGTCCCTTCGCCCGGCAGTGCCAACAGTCCGCCCGATCGCACCGCAGAGGCGCTCTTTGCGCTCCAGGACACCATCAACCTGCTGCCGTCTCGCCAGGCGCCGCCGGGCGCCTTCCCGGGCACGTCCGAGACGTACATGCACGAGGAGAACGAGGCGGATGGCACGTTCCAGGTGGACACCGAGATGTCGCGCAGGATCATGGAGCGAGCCGCGTGTGCGCGCGACCTCATTCCTGCGCTGCTGCGCAACCCGGGCGCGCTCGCGAATGCCATCCCGTTCGACGTGCTCATCGGCGCCCAGGATCCCGACGTCGGTCGTCCCGGTGGCTCGATCATCAACATCAACAATCCGGGCGGCGGGCTGAACGAGCAGGTGGTGTTGCTCGGCGTCGCGTGGGGCACCGCGGTCGAGGTGTACATCTGGCGCCGCGTCGGCATGCTGCAGGCGGCGACCGAGGCACTGTTGGCCACCACGGATCCCGTGCAGGCGCTCATTGCGGGCGGCGGAAGCATCGTGACCGAAAAGGTGGAGAAGATGGTGATGAATGTGCTCGAGGCCATTCGGCTGTTCCACAACATCTTTGATGGGCTCATCGCGCGCGCGCTCGACGAGTTTGTGCACCTGTCTAGACAGGCGCGCACGATGCTGTCGTTCTTTGTGATTCACATTCACCTGGGCGTGCTGCATTTCACACAGCTTGCCAAGCGTATCGAGCAGCGCGAGCTCGAGCTGATCCAGGCGTTCAATGCGGCGCATGCCGCCAGTGCGGCTTCGCCACCCAAGACGGCTTCATCGGCGTCCAATGTCAATTTGTCGTTTTCGCCGCTCACGGTGAATAGTCCGCAGGTGGGCGGGTTGACGTCGCCGACGCCCAGTGCAGGTGCTCAGGGTAGTGGATCGTCCAACGGCTCACCGCCCAGCACCACCAACCAGCAGCTGCGCTCGGTCATGCTGCACTCGTCGGTCGAGCGTCGCATCGTGGGCAGAGCAGCCGCTCTCGGCATGTCGCACATGGCCGCACTCATCAACACCGAGTGCGCCAAACTCGAACAAGCCACCCGCATCGGCCGCCTCTCGCCCAAGCCGCAAGACGGAAAGTCGCGCAAGGGCAGCTTTTACGGACCACCCCAACAGGCAGACGACTTTACACCCATCGAAGACTCCGCCTCCGCTCCGTGGCGACATCCGTATCCCGCCATGGTCGCCGACGCGCTCAAGCTCAGCTCGCAGCAGCTGCACGACGAGATCTGGGACCAGCTCATCGCTGTCCCCCGCAACGACGCCGAACTCAGGCTGCTCATGGACAACTTTAATGTGCTCCTCGAAGGGTTTGGCCGCATGCTCCATGCCGTGCCAGGGCTGGGCAGTTATAAGCAGGTGCTGACGGATTTAGAGAACGCCCGCGACACGGCTGCGTTTGTCGCTACCCAGAATGGTTAGGTCACTGCAGCGTCAAGACCGTCGTCGCCATCGAGTCCGACACTGGCTGAGTTGCCAGCAAGGCCTTGCCAGCCAGAGCAGCTTAGTGCACCGTTTCGCCTGCACTGCACGATGCCGCCGTTGGTCTGGCACTCGTCACTCTTGTTCGCTGCCTCGCTGCTGCCAGCCGGGCCGCGGCTCCATCCCATCACCCTTCGATTGTACTGTAATGTACTTGTAAGCTCACTCGCGACGCTTGGTCGTCTTAATCAGTCACGTTTCTCACCGTTCGGCCGCAGCGTCAGTGTGGTCACTTTGCATTGCAGGAGCTGCTGTTCGGACACGATCGCGTCGGTCAGTCACATTCCTCACCGTTCGGCCGCAACATCGGTGTGGTCAGTTCGCGTTTGCAGGAGCTGCTGTTCGGACACGGTCGGATCTGTTATGTACAAGGGTGGGCTCGATGGTCAGGCGGACAGCGCGGTGTGGCAGGCGGGCTGGAGGATGTCAGCGACAGCGGCGATGCCGGGCATGCGCACGAGCGTAAAGTGGTTGGCGGTGGCGACGACGGCGACGGTGAGGTGGTCGTGTGGGATGCACGTGTGCCAGCCGTCGGTGCCGCTCGCGGCGCGGTTCGCGCGGAAGAGCCACTCCACCGTCTCGTTGGCGCCGACGACGTCCTCGACGCGCCCGGGCAGCTGCTCGTCCGCCACGATGTACCACACGTGCGGGATCTTGATCTCGTCGGCACCGGCGAAGGCGTCCCTGGGACGGTAACCGACGATGCTCTCGACCGTGGCCCGAAAGTGCGCCGCGAGCTTGGGCGACAGTCCGGCGGGTGCAATGTCGCGCAGCTCGGGCGCACTCAGGATCCAGTCGACCACGCCGAACGGCAGCGGAGCATACACGGCGGGACACGGCGAGTCGAGCAGGAACACGCCAGCTGCGCGATCGCTGCGTGCGCCAGGCTGAGTGGCGAGCAGTCGTGCGATCTCGAACGCAGCCATGCCGCCGAAACTCCATCCACCCACCAGGT